GGCTGCGATGCTGTGTAGGGGGTGGCCACTTTCGTCTGCGGGGACACAGGAGGTACAACAGACAAGAAGGGCCGACCTGCAGGCTCCATTCGGGCCTATTGGTGACGGATTTTTAGTGAAAGTGGAAAGGGAGAAAAAGAAAAAGAGAGAGAGGGAGGGAAGGAGACAAAGAGATTATAAAGTCAAGGTCTAAATGTGCCAGTCATTAAAAATTAAGTGGCAGATTACAGCATGCAGGAAGTATTAGCAAAACAATGTAGCAAGAGACAATTCCATACACTGACAAGCCTGCACAGTGCCATCTGACTGGGCAGGAAGGGAGGAGAGCTGGCAAGAATTGGTGGAGCCAGGTCTGCTCCAAGCTAGGCTGAATGTCAGGGAGAAGATACACCGGCCTTGTCACTTCTCGGGACAGGCAGCTGTACCCAGTGAGAGTTGCTGGTCCTCCTCTAGGCAAGCATGACGACCTGAACAGAACACTCCCGGGGCACCACAGGACATGATAGAGGACATCAGGCAGAGCAAGAGACTCTGCGGGCATCTCCTCAGCTTAGTAAGACTAGAGTTAAACCATACATGGCCTCCCAGTGCATCTGTCAAGCCTTTACATCTGTTAGCTCAGGTCTTACACTGTTCAGTGTTAAAAAATGCCAAAATCCTTAACTGCTCTAAATCATGTGAAGAGCAAACTATGCAGGAATACTACTGAGAGCCTTCCACTCCACATGCTCTGATAGCCAAGACTGGTAAGGAAAAAAATGAGGAAAAAGAGGGAGAACTGAGATTTCCTAGTAAAATTTCCCCAGAAGGAAATGTTTAGAGATCTGCTAAAGAAAGTTAGCTTGGGAAAGAAAAACTATACATACAGCTATTATATTAAGCAGGGAAAAAAAAGAAAGTCAGGGAAAAACTGACTAAGGTAAGGAGCAATGGGAAAGCAGCAGGCAATGTTTTAGTCTACTCATTGGGCTTTGCTCAAGTTAAATTGATTCTCCAAAATTGTAAGCCCACATTCCTGTTAAAAATTAAAAAGATAATTGCATTACTCAAGTTTATAAACATCCCCCTAATACAAAGTGGTTTGGCTACAAGCCAGGTTGTGAATTTCACAGTGCACAGCATAGAAACATGCATTAGAAATGCAATACCAACATAGCAACTGACCACACTGAGTACTCTACTTCATTAGTACATACTTTGCCACAAGTTAGCCCAATTATGCTCATTTACACTCTATGAGCAGGTTTGCATATTGCTTTGTTCTAAACACAGGTGCACAGGGTTTCTTTAGGCACAGAAGGACACTAAAAAGATTAGAGTCAGAAACAACAGTGATTTCCAACACACATGGGGTGTGCCCTCTACCTGTCACATTAGGTCAAGAGTGTAACAGCTCTAGAAGTAAATCAAGGTGTCCACATAACAAAACAGGAGGGAAATCTTGACCTCTTACAAGCGTTAGTCTGCAAATTACCATTCTCTCAATCACCCAGGTTAATGAATTTTCAAGTAGCACCACCTGACCTTAATTGTGCCCTGTATAAGCCACCACGGGTGTGCTGACCTTAGCTGTGCTGAACTTCACTTTTGACACCTGAGACAGCAAAAGGCAACAGGAAAAATAAAAGCGGCATAAAACAGACAGAGAGGGAGACCAAGGCACAACAGAAGTGCTACCCCTGAATGGCAAGACCTTGGAGAATCTTGAATTTGTCACTGGAAGCACACACAGCAAGCATACATTTTAATAGCTATTGTAGCATCTCATTTGAAGTAACGTGTTCAAAATCTCACAGGCAAAATGAGGCATAATGACATCTTCACTGCCCAACTGTGAAGAATGTAAACACATGAATAAAATATTATTGGGCAAACAGCAATCTTTCAAAATATGAAGTGGTCAGATGCAAATTAAAAACTCAGGACATGGAAAATAATATTGTGCATCTTGGGAAGGGGAGCCCCTCCAGCCTCCACAGAATCAAATTAAATTTCCACAACATGAAACATGTTCAGTGATACTTTGTTTACAGAAGAACCTTGAAAGAGATCATTGTTGTTGTTCATCATTATAACTATGTGATGTCCTTCTGCATATCTTGAAAAATTACTTGTTCCATCCTATCAATTCATATTTGAAAAATGCATCTTCATGACTATCTGGAACTCTAAGAAATGCTATAAAAAGCATGGTATCTCTTTTTTTTAAATAACAACTTGGGCTTTTTTTTTTTTTTCAGCTGTTTTTCCTAAGAAAACAAGCTTTTGAAATTGAACTGGTTGCCATCTCTTTTTCTATGCCACTTGCTTTTGGATTGGTTACCAAATCAGTCAAATATGACAGACTGATAAAAATCTCAATATATTTGCAACTTCAATAAATTGTTTTGAAGTTACTAGCACCTGGTAAATGAGGGAAAAGCAGGCAGAACTCGCCCATTTTTAACTTGCTGAGCAGTTAGCCACTGGCCAACCAGTACAACATCCTGGCTGGCCAGCCAGCCCCCATTTCATTCCC